ATAGGCGTATTGCAGTAAAGGTATTAGACGCAGTTTGTAAAAGTTTGAAATTTTGAAGGTGAAGTTCGTGATACAAGAAAGGTGGCTTACTCCTGCTACTAAAAAAATGGAAAACTTTGAAACAGGCTAGCCTATAACTAAAATATCACACATTGTTCTGAAATTGTAAATAACAATATAGAAGAAAACAAAACAATGGTAGGCCTATAATTATTATAAAATATAACCAGGCCGATATAATAACAATATATTAATTGATATATACTCATAAATAAACCATCCCGAACACCTGTCATCACTCCACACCTGTACCTCTCAATATTGCTCACATCATTAATACATTTACTATCACAAAAACATGGACATTTATTGATTTCTCAGGCTACCTATAGACCTATATGATTTGGTGTAGGTGATATGAGAGAGGACGGTGCGAGGGTGTAGGCCTATGGAATGTAGAAAGGGGGGAGGGGCGAGGTTTCGACCAGACAGCTTCCATCTAATTGCATTTACCAATGTCTTTGACACCCATTTTCAAATATAAAAACGTAAAGGCCTGTTAACTTCAAAACTGAAATTTATGTAAGTAAACAATGAATTGGCGAGACGTAGGCTAATCTATCATTTCTAGACGACCACTAGAGACGATTTCAAACTATTCTTATTTCTCTTTTTAGATGCTCACTCATCTTCCGAAACCAAGGAACTATTCTCATCATCAGAATCAGACATCAATGCCATCTTCACAGCCACAAAGTCACTGGCGGAGTATGAAAAAAGCCGCAATAGTTTAAGAAATTCAAATTTCGGATTTTCAAATTCATTGTCGTCTTCTGATTGGGTAGAAAGTGTAAGCGTCATCAATAACAGCCTCGTTTTGACCAAACATAATGTGACGTCAGTGACGCCATTAAAACGCCAGACTACGTCAACGTTGAACTTTGAACCCGAACTAAGTGTAACTGAGATAGAAGCCAGTGAGACTACCAATCTCACAGCGCCACCAAGTTCGGTTTTCAGGATAACTTTTGATCCACTGGGTCAGGATATTACAACAATTTCCTTCAAAAGACGGCTTCAAACAGGTAAGTTTAGACAAAACCATTTCTTATTTGTATGACGAGGTCCCGGTTCAGTGGCGGAGCCAGGTTTACGTCCGAGAGGGGCAAGATATCTGGCTCCGTCACTGTCCCGGTTTTAAGGATCTCCAGCTCCAAAACGGTTCAGGCAAAACCGTATCTTATTTCTACCACCCGTAACATGTATTTCTTGAATCAGAACCAGTGCCGACAGTATACAAGCTATGTATACGAGCTCCTCAAAAAGTTACCTCTTTCTAATGGCATTGTCAGTATCCATTATCTCCATATGGTAGAAATATTAAAAGAGACTTGAATCAGGTATAAGAATTTGACCATTATACGCCAGTTTATTTTATACCTCTTATACCTCGACTACAATAGCCACTTTCTTATAATAAATAATGCAGCGATCTGATTGGGTGGTTAGAAAGGTGGATTTTTCAGTCAAGGTATAAGACACAATTTGTAATAGCTTGACTTTGTGAAGATCCACAGATCCTCGATTATAGTATCTGCTGATAAAAAATAGTTAATTAAATCGACAGATAGGGCGTTTTCTTGCAGAAAATCACAGTATCAAAGAGTTCAAATTAGATCAAGGCAGGTTACTCTAGCACGCGATACTTGTGGTAAAAAACGAAAAGCTCGGGCTTCATCAGTTGAATTATTTAGAAAGTTAATTGGAGTGGCGTGAGGAATATACATTAATTAGAGATATAATTTTTATTTTCATCCAAACTTCGGTGACTTCCAAAAGTCATAAAAACGCTGTTGATCTTAGCAACGCCTGATATTTACTTTGATGTTTAAATATGTATAGGTCTGATGTTATTTGACGTCTTATTACGACGTAATATGCGCGTGCCCTGGTCACAGTGACCTATATATCAACATGCACTATATTCTCATGGGATATGATGAGTTCGTGACTTAAAGTTTAGCTTGATTAATAAACGATAAGATTCAAAATTTTTTCATCTATCGTAAAGTATTGATATTTTCGGTCCATTGGTACCAAAATTTTACCACAGTATCACCAAATCCAAAATTTGTTTCATTTTACGGTACTTATTTTTTAGAGCTGGCCGCAGTAATAACTGATGTTCTTCAAACTAACAGACGAACAAGAAGAGAGATAAACAATTCCATTACGATCGAGGTAAGAACTCCATCCACAGTTACTTCCCTTTCATGAATAACAGTACAGGGTGTGCGAGGGTATAGTGGTATATCAGTCTGGGGTGAGGGCTCCCCCCTCCCTCACCCCCGCCTTTCCAAACCCTCTTTCAATTTTCTTATCATATTACACATGGAAAACCCCTTGTCTAACCAACCTTGTATATAGATGTTCCAGATATACCACATGTCCTACAAAAACATTTACCACGGCTACGATATATATAATAATGATTTGATTTTTTTTATGGATTTTTAGTTTTCGCACTTGTAGCTAAACAAATCTGTTCCTGTCCGTTCCTCGGACGCGATATACGCTTACGGATGGGATATCGATACGTACCTTGGTCCTAATAAAGAGAAGCAAACGAGAGAGTTAACATGACCCATTTCCAATATCACCCATGAAAGATGCAAGCCACGATTAAAATACTTAGATCTATTCTCTTTTTAGGTGGAAGAAATAAAATCGGATGGACCTAATAAAGGGGAGGCAACCTTCATAGTCAAACAAAATGGCGAACCGGTGTCAGCAGAATTGGCGGGAGAAATTCTGGGACGGCTTACTCCCGAAGAACTGGATCAGTATTTAGATGTCAAGGTATGTTTTGTTCCAACCAAGTTTTCGGTTCACCTTAGATGCTCAAAGTGAAATGAATGGAGTTTTTCGTCCTACTTTTCTGCCACTGAATAGGCTGCTGAAGACGTCTTACTGCTTAGCCCGTTCGCTCTAGAGTATCATGTATCAATAGATGTAGTAAGAGTATGGCAGTTTCTATTTCACTGAATGTAGTTCCACGACCTTTAACACGGTACCTTTCCGCCTTTACAAAACAGGTCTTTTTGTACGTTTACGGAAGTATCCAATAGTGAGGCCTAAGGCTGTATGCCAGTCACCTCTTTGACATCCCACAACTTTCTATTGAACTCTCAGTGAAATATGCAAAATGTTAACGAGCTGCTACCACGTAGCCTATTCGGGCCCGTAACCAGACTTTATTGTTTGGAGGGACAAGTAATATACCCGGACGGACAATGGTGTATGGTGTTTTTAGTTGTCATAATGGAATTGATCGATTGATGTTTTGTCGTTTCGTGGTTCGGATCGTTAGTACTTGTATTTTGTATATATGATTGAACTTCATTTGTAAAAGGATGTTTTGTTAGCTGTCAGACTATTTCATACGTCTTTTTTATTTTTTCAGGTCTTGGAACCCCTGACTCTAGCCGCAACTTCTTCTTCATATGAATCCACTTTCAACGTAACCTCTACAGTATTCAAGAATTCCATCACCGACAGCAGTATTTCTAACAGAGAAACTTCACAATTCTTTGGGGCAGTATCTTCCGAAACGCTTTCAGAGAAAACATCCACGTTTTACGAAACCCCAAAGAGAAGCTCAGAAACTGTATCACAATCTTTTTTGCAACCTGTTGCTGATACAGAGGTCATCACGGGCGCGTCAGTATTCATAAGTAGGTCAACGAGCATCACCGAAACAGTACCAATGTCACAAATCATGCCTTCATCTTCAACCAAAACATCACTGGAAAACGCCTATATCGTAACATCACTCGAGCCTAGCATTGTTTCCATGTACATAAGTGAAAGCTATAAAACTGCCCACATCGTACCATTGCTCGATCCTAGCATATCATCACTGTACATAAGTGAAAGTTCTAAAAGCTCTGATACTCCCCATTCTACAATAGAGACATTTTATTCCAATAGTGTCCAAATCACTCAATCTCTAACAGAGCTTTCCACGGACCAATCTGTGATATCAATAAAACCCAGTCCTGTGTTACAAACTTCTGAAATTAAGGACCAAAGCAGATCTGTGATAGCCAGTATCACGCCTTCTTCAGTAGAGACGCCAACTTCCGATGTTCCAAACGATCTGGTGATAGACTCATCTTCAATGTCGTCTTCGCAATCTTCAGTTGATACAAGCGTACTTAAAGACAATCGAGATAGTGAAACTATATCAGACTCTATGCATAGTGTTTTATCTAATATTGTTAGCAATTCTGTGATAAACGGACAAAATGCTAGTGCAACAAACTCTAAAACCATTGAGGTTCAGGACCAAAGCTTGGAGAGAAGTCAACAATCCTCAATTGACAATGCTACATCTTCAGTAGTGATTCAACCAAGCTCAGTATTAGACTACAGCATACAAAATAACGACATTTCGTCTTTTTATTCGCAAAATGTGATGCCTGTTTTCAGTGCGGACATGGTAGAAATCTCCGAAGAAAGCTCGTTACCGAGCTCCGACATATTACCTTCAGAAACACTGCGCGATCAAAGTCAACAGATTGTGGATATATCTTCCTTTTATACTCAAAATGTGATGCCGGTTTTCAGTGCGGACGTGGTGGAAATCTCAACGCAAAGCTCATCATTAAGTTCCACCATTTCGCCAACACAAACACTTGCAAATAGTGATCAGCATGGAGAAACTTCAACCACTGGGACAGAATATGTGATGCCGGTGTTTAGCGCAGATGTAATCGATATTTCAGAGGAAAGTTCAACCTTGAGCTCTACGATTTCAACAACACAATCATCACTTGAGATGACAGCCAATGTGGAATCGTCTACATCAGAATATACATCAGGGATACAACCAACTAATGTAGAGGTACAGCCATCTAGTGAAGAGGTACAACCATCTAGTGAAGTTGTACAACCATCTAGTGAAGAGGTACAACCATCTAGTGAAGAGGTACAATCATCTAGTGTAGGGTACAATCATCCAGTGAAGAGGTACAACCATCCAGTGAAGAGATACAACCATCTAGTGAAGTGGTACAACCATCTAGTGAAGAGGTACAATCATCTAGTGAAGAGGTACAACCATCTAGTGAAGAGATACAACCATCTAGTGAAGAGGTACAACCATCTAGTGAAGAGATACAACCATCTAGTGTAGGGATACAACCATCTAGTGAAGTGGTACAACCATCTAGTGAAGTTGTACAACCATCTAGTGTAGAGGTACAACCATCTAGTGTAGAGGTACAATCATCTAGTGAAGAGGTACAACCATCTAGTGAAGAGCTACAACCATCCAGTGAAGAGTTACAGTCATCTAGTGAAGGGGTACAACCATCTAGTGAAGTGGTACAACCATCTAGTGAAGTGGTACAACCATCTAGTGAAGAGGTACAACCATCTAGTGTAGAGGTACAATCATCAAGTGAAGTGGTACAACCATCTAGTGAAGTGGTACAACCATCTAGTGAAGAGGTACTACCATCTAGTGAAGTGATACAACCATCCAGTGAAGAGGTACAGTCATCTAGTGAAGAGGTACAGTCATCTAGTGAAGTGGTACAACCATCTAGTGAAGTTGTACAACCATCTAGTGAAGTGGTACAACCATCTAGTGAAGTGGTACAACCATCCAGTGAAGAGGTACAACCATCTAGTGAAGAGATACAACCATCTAGTGAAGAGGTACAATCATCCAGTGAAGAGGTACAGTCATCTAGTGAAGTGGTACAACCATCTAGTGAAGTGGTACAACCATCTAGTGAAGTGGTACAACCATCCAGTGAAGAGGTACAACCATCCACTGAAGAGATACAACCATCTAGTGAAGAGGTACAATCATCCAGTGAAGAGGTACAGTCATCTAGTGAAGTTGTACAACCATCTAGTGAAGAGGTACAACCATCTAGTGAAGAGGTACAGTCATCTAGTGAAGAGGTACAGTCATCTAGTGAA